CAAGTGGAGAATGTGAAATGTTTTAAATATTTGGGTAGCTTGTTAACAGATGATGGAAGGTGTACTAGTGAAATTAAATCCAGGATTGCCATGGCAAAAGCTGCATTTAGCAAGAAGAAGAATCTTTTTACCAGCAAATTGGACTTAAATTTGAGGAAGAAACTAGTGAAATGCTACATTTGGAGCATAGCTCCGTATGGGGCTGAAACATGGACATTTAGGGCAGTAGATCAGAAACATCTGGAAAGTTTCGAAATGTGGTGTTGGAGAAGGATGGAGAAGATCAGTTGGACCGATTATGTGAGAAATGAAGAAGTGTTATTTAGAGTCAGTAAGCAGAGGAATATCCTACACGAAATAAGAAAACGGAAGGCTAATTGGATTGGTAATGTTTTACGCAGAAACTGCCTTCTAAAAGAAGTTGTTGAAGGAAAGATAGAGGGGTGGATATAAGTGACAAGAAGACGAGGAAGAAGACGTAAGAAGATGCTGGATGACCTTGGGGACAGAAGAGGATACTGTCATTTGAAGGAGAAAGCTCTAGATCGCATTAAGTGGAGGAATTGCTTTGGAAGAGACTGTGGACCTGTCGTCTGACAGATTACTGATGATGATGATGATATAAAGGCTAAAATTTTACCTCATTAAAATATTAATAGTTGTTCTGGGAAGAATTTATAGCACTTCCTTAATTTAAGTATGATATATTTATCACGAGTGACCAGTTAATTACAAATAATTCCAAGCCTCAAACTGTTGAACCTGCATTCACCAGTTGATAAGAGGTCCACATCCAAACAACAACAGAAGTAACAATGAAGACAACAAAAATGACAACTAATACAATAAAAAGCAACACAAAGAATTACAACAATGAGAGCATAAAAGAATATGCTTCATGAAGTCCAGAAGCTTGAGGACTTCTGGGCTACAAACAGGTACCAACTTCTTGGGAAGAAATCAGTAACCTGCATTTTCACTTACACCATGAAGATGAAGGCAGCAGATTCCCCACAAATGCAGATACCTATGTACTGAATGATATAGTGTCATAACCCAGAGATCCGTAATCTTCATATTTTCCTCTTTCGAGAACTCCAAGCTCATATGCATATAACAAAGGTTTCCCTTATCCTTAACTGAAACCTACTGTGAATTATATGTAAAGGTTCAAGCTTATGCCTCATCCTTTTATATATATTTCAGTTAAAGTTCTATTAATTCTACAGTACCAAAATGTACTAAACCTTCTCAGGTGTTGACCATTTGGATTCCAGCTTGTCTCTATAGAGATCTTTTAAGGATCCATCTGAGCCCTGGCATGTTTTCCACTCTGTATAATAAACTTGGATCACTGCTGGTGTGCTCATAACCCTGGTCATTCCAGGCGGAGATGCAGTAAAGTGTCTTGTCCTCCTCCAACAGTCTCTTAGTCTGGCTGAAGTAACTGCAATGTACACACTGTACCAATATTCATATTAATCTGCTTACATATTTGGCAAACATTCCATTCCTTGGTTTAAAATGAAGTGACTTGATGGAGCAAAGTGCTTGAAAAGCTGACAGTCTTATCATCTGGGCATGAAATGAGTTCAACTTCTCTAACCTCTGTATTCATTACAGTACTTGTAAGATTTTGCAGCTGGACCTTGTCATGAACCACCTGAAACAAGCGTAAAACCTCAAACCTTCTTCTTCAATTTTATGTTCCCTGTATAGGTCTCCTAAGTGATGTCTTTTATTTACTATATTTGAATGCCTTCATCCATCTCACAGTGCTACATGCCCAGCCTATTTTATTCTCCTTGATCTGACACACACAGGTTGAAACTGTTCAAGGTTTAATCTAGATAGAAGACAAATGATCACTATAAAACTGTATACAATCATACAGACTTTAAGTGTACAGTTGTAGTCAGGTCTATAAAATATTTCAGTCACTGAATGACTACTATCAGGTGGATACTGGAGAATAACCAGGAGTTTACTGTAGTGACAGTATTTTCATTTCCTACACAGACAGTACCCATTTCACTAGACACCAAAACCTTAACAGTTCTCACCTGAAGAAGTCTGGAGACACATTCAGATCTTCTTCCACAATAATTACCTATTTGGCATTGAGGAATATGTTGAATGTTGCTGTCAGAGAAGCCTTGTAGTACTGAGATATTCTGGCGCTCTGAACTCCAATTGGTGTGTGCTGAATTCCTTGCAGTCCAAAGAATTTTGTCACCTCAAGAGGTTCCTCAAAGGAGGCATCAATGAAGACTGTTATCATCTCTGGATTTGCTCCATGTGCAGAGAGAAGAGACCTCAACATCCTGCACAAACAATAATGCACTGAGAATTATATCAGCGTATTTATAAATCTGATGCTCTTAGGAGTGCATGGGGGAAGAATGAAAGTGTAAATTAATCAAATGTAGAGACAATCCTACCAGTTTTCTGATAGTTTAGGTTCTGTTTTTTTTTTCAGTCAAGGGGCCTGAAACTCAGTGTTTTAGTATGACCTGTACAATGCCTGTTGCTTGAAATGACAGCCACTGGTACATCATGAACCTTGTTATTCACCAGCTAAACGAAAAGAGAAAGGAGAAATTAATTATCAGTATTTTGTTATTAATTTATTGCAAAATTACAGCTGATAAAATGAAATATAAAATGACTTGTGAAATACACTTGCAAAAAACAATATGTTGGTTGAGAGGGATATAGGAAATGTAGGTACATACATTATGACACTAAATTTCTTGGTTTGACTATTGAGAGATCCTTGACTTGGGAAAGACATATTGAAGAGGTTATAAATAAATTAAGGTCAGCCTGCTACATGATAAGGAACATAAAACCACTCATGTCTACAAATACCTTGAAAGTTATTTATTATTCTTACTTCCATTCAGTCATGACTTATGGCTTGATTCACAGGGGAAACTCGTCACATGCTGAAACGGTTTTTAAGATACAGAAGAGAATTACATGAGAGATGATGGGTCGTGGTTACAGGGAATCGTGTAGAGATCTCCTCAAGGAAATACATATATTGCCTTTAAAATCACAGTATATATATTCACTAATGATGTTTGTAATTATAACAGAGATAAATTTGTTACAAATAAGGATTATTATGAAGTAAAAACCAGACAAAATATTAATTTACATATTAACCAGGTTAACTTGGCTATATATGGTAAAGGAGTATATCACATGGCAGTAAAGGTTTTTAATGGGCTTCCTCATAACCTCAAAGAAATTTCTAATAATAATTTAAAAGACTTTCTGTATTCAAATTCTTTCTATACATTGGAGGAATTCTTTAAAAGATGATTGTATTATATCTGCAAAAATTGAGTATTTTCGATTATACTGTTATATAGTGATTATTTTACGCATATGTACATATCTATATTTGATGGAATGTATTTGTAGTTATTGCTTTGCTGCTATTTACTAGAGTACTATTATGTTCATACTACAACAACTTAAGAATTGTTTTAGTTATATTAAATAATGTGCATGTTTACTTTATTATGTATTTACTGATATGTATGACTATATGTACAGTGTACGGCTTTATTTGTGACTATTTCCACATCCTATGAAATTGTTTTCTATATGGATTTATGGAAAATGGATGGATGAATGAATGAATGAATTACTGACAAAAATGGAATTAATGTCTCTCCATCCAGCTATCTTTGAACCCAGCCTCTTCATGAGGTCTATGGCTGGCTGCTTCATCTGGAATGTTCCTTCATCCTGTAAGTCAGCCACAGTAACTGTCACAGAAATCTAGAAGAAACGGCATTGAGACAGCTTACATTCAGAGGACTATATTTCTGAACCTCTTAATATGTATTGAGGGATTTAAAATTGTTTGAGCGTGTCATATCTGTCAAGCTCCAGACATTTCAGATGTCAGAAATGTTAATGTTACAGTAATAACTTTACAGTTCATTTCTGTACAACATACATACTGTCTATTATGTTCTGAAGTTATGTAATTTAGAAATGAATGAATAATACAACATACACAGGTCTATGAGGGACCAATTGAGGTGAAAATGGTCTGATTAACTGTACACAAGATGGGATGAATTAAATAAGTTAATATTTTAATCAAGAATGACAAGATTGATGTACAGGTAATAATACTGATGTATTTGCATTCTTTAACAAAGAGCACCATACATCCATGAGATACTAGAGTGAACTGCTGTTACCACATTTCGTTAAATGAATAAAAACAAATAATTCCATGTCTTGTCACACTGGTTCAGAAAGACGGCATGGAGCAGAAGACGACAAAACCATGGATTCATATGTTCAACTTCCAACACACCTGCAACCCATCTCAATTCCTACAAACAAAGCCTCTTTGGACAAACCCCCATGTCAGTGTGCAATCGATTACCAGTGCTTTACAGAAATGTCTGCTTCCATTCTGATGAATCTGGAGATCAGGTGTTCTTGTCATGTATTTGGTCATGATCAGCATCATTTAACATGGATAATGGGGCCACGTCATAGCTCAAGTGGTTTGTCGCTGGCTTCCCAGATTCGATCCCGGGTCTGCTCAAGTGGGATTTGTGGTGGACAAAGTGGCGTTGGGGCAGGTTTTCTCTGAGTACTTCAGTTTCCCCTGCCAATCTTCATTCCACCAATTGCTCCGCAATCACCCTCACATATCATCTGGGGCTGGTACAATAGGCCAGAAGTGGCCGCAGTACAAGGGACTTAGTCGCACCCCACTCATCATCATCATCAGTTATCTGTTAAGACGACAGGTCCACAGTCTCTTTCAAAACAGTTCCTCCACTTACTGCGATCTAGAGCTTTCTCCTTCAAATGACCGTATCCTCTTCTGTCCCCAAGGTCATCCAGCATCTTCTTACGTCTTCTTCCTCGTCTTCTTGTCACTTCTATCCGCCCATCTATCTTTCCTTCGATAGCTTCTTTTAGAAGGCAGTGTCTGCGTAAAACATGACCAATCCAATTAGCCTTCCGTTTTCTTATTTCATGTTGGATATTCCTCTGCTCACTGACTCTGATTAACACTTCTTCATTTCTCACATAATCGGTCCAACTGATCTTCTCCATTCTTCTCCAACACCACATTTCGAAACTTTCCAGATGTTTCTGATCTACTGCCCTAAGTGTCCATGTTTCAGCCCCATACAGAGCTATGCTCCAAATGTAGCATTTCACTAGTTTCTTCCTCAAATTTAAGTCCAATTTGCTGGTAAAAAGATTCTTCTTCT